AGGAATCTAGCATTCCTGTCAGCACCACTGGAAAAATTTCTCTGTGTAAGTGTAGTCTCCCAAAATTGGTTATAAATCAAATTTGTATATTTGGAGTTATCTCCCTACTCGTTTGTCTCATTTTGGAATTGATGTAAAGGGATCTTAAGACGAAGCCTCATTTAGATGATTGATTCTTTTTCAAATAAGAATAATTGATATGCCATTTTTCTCCAATTCATTCATCTGTTTTTAAAGTTGGCTATTTTCAAGGCTTTGCAAAGTGAATTTCATTGTAGTCCAATCATGTATTGTTAGCTTTAAGAGCTAATAATTGTCCTTTTAATTCATCAGCACCTAGTGAAGTATTGAAGATGTTCATTGATTTTTTTTCTTTGTATCCTGTGAAGTACTGTTATTTTTTATTGGTGCTGTATGAGAAGTGATTTTTCTGACACCTCTCCCAGTTTTGAAAAATAACTCTTCTTACGATCTTTATTATTTTCTCCAGAGCACCCTGTCTGGTAGCAGAGGAAACCTCAGGGGGTCAGGTGCCAGAGGGCAGACCCTGGCTGACAATGAAAGCTTAACCAACACCCCTTTGTGGGAATGCAGGTGTCTCATGCTGTGAGACACAGAAATACCTGTCCCAGCTTTAATGTCCCCATGGCTCTTGGAAACAAGGGCCTGAGTGTTGCTTTTTACTGGCTGCAATTAATTATAAGGATACTGTGCAGAAATAGGTGTTAAAAGATATTTGGTTCATTTCTAGCTAAAACCTAAAAATATGAGCTAGGAAATCGCAGGGATGGCCTTTTTCCTTGAAGATTTCATTGGATCAAGGGACCAACTCTAAAATACGTTATTTTGTTTTATTGAAATCAAATAGAGAGTGCTAAGGGTTGCTGAGGTCAGTATTGTCTTGCTTTATTTTTGTTTTGTTTTTTACTCCTAGACTGTAAGCAATGTGAGGACCTCTGTTCATATTCAGGCACACGTGAGTGTCCTAGCCTTCAGAGGACTTTGCCTGCCTGTCTGATTCACCCCACCCTTCTCCATCCAGCAATCCATATTCTTGAGAGGGTTCTCGAACTTTGTTTTGTCCCATGAGGTTCAGTGCAGCCCTGGTTGGGGCCAGTGATAGTGGCAAAGGCTTATTAGGCTTGCAGGTGTGCTCCGCGTCCAGCCATGGGCCAGGAGGGCCTGTCAGCCAGGAGTCACCTGACGCTGTGAAGGAGTTCACTCCTTAGTACCTTTATCATCATCCTCTCTAAGGGCATTTATATTTAAGTAAACTCTTCTGAGGAGCAACTGCAAATTCTACTCATTATACCCCAACCCGATAGAGAAGGCCCTTCACCATCTTGCCCAGGAATAGCAGCCTGACCTGACTTCGCACGAACATCTTATCATCACCTATTATCCCACTGGCATTTCTCTTTTCTTCTCCTACTTCTTTAAACAAGAAGAATCACTGATGCTTTCCTTAGAAGGAAAATATGGAATTGTGAAAAGTCAAGGGTTTTTTAAGAGTTGACTATTTGAGAGAGGATGGGAGGTAAATGAGATACCATGTCTCAGACTCTTGCTTATTGCTTATCATTTCTGTGATTTCTGTGCCATTCAAGCAGTGGACTTTCAAGAGATCCTGTCCCTGAATGCTCATAAAGCATAAGTATAGTTGTTAGAGCCACGTGGGGGTTTATGGTTTTGTGGATGTGTGTTTATAGAGCAAGGGAAGTTCCTGGGTTCATAACTGCAGCCCTCCTGGCTCAACAACCTTGACAACTGGCCACCACAGTAATATCTGATTTAATCCTTTTATGGTTTGGCCCATAACACTGCTCACATTCCCAAGGACTTTACTCTGATCACATGTTTTTTCTCCCTAAAAAAAACCCCAAACTTATTTTTGTTTACTTTTCGACAGTTTTTGTGTTGAAAGCATTTAGTTTTCTAACAACTATTTATTATACTACATTTATTTTAGATTCCATAGAGGCAGAGGCAGTTGTTCTTAATAATTTTGTAACAGAGTGACTAAACATTTTGTTTCATTGACTCTTAATTTCCTGTGCCCTGCCTCTGTGTGTGTGATTGGATTTGGCGATCACCAGTTATTCATTTGCTCCCCTGAGGAGCCCTAGGTCCTAGTTTAGTTTAGCACAGGGTGTCTCTTGTACAGAATGTTCAGAAGTTTTAAGGGGAACTTTCAGAACTAATGAGGTATGGGTAACAGATAAAGTGCCTCAAACACATACTAATGAGGAGATGGGACGCAATGGAATCTGACTGTAGCATAGAGGAGTGTGTGGCCCAAAGCTCTGGTGGTTTCAATCTCGATTCTCCCACAGTGTTTGGAGTCCGTTAGCACACTTGCCTCTCTTACAGAGAGTGCACAGTCCATGGTGCTGTCATTTCCCTCTATGTGTGATCTCATGGAGCTCAGAATTGCTATGGAAACAAATGGGACTTAGTTGAGGAGAATCTCTCATTGAATCCCACTCACTCATAGGAATCTCTTTGCTTCCTCTGTTGCTTCTCTTGCAGTTTGGGGATCCACCAAGCCTTAGTTGGCCTAATTTTTAAATGCAACTTGAGATTCTGTGAGCTGAGTTCCCAAAATTTGTTAACTTTGTTCTCTACTCAGGTCCCCAGCGTGAGGGATAACAGTGTCTGAGTTAGATAAGAAGTTAGAGTTCCCAAGGTGGCTGATAAGACTTCTGGCTAAATTGAACATATGCCACATGCAAGCTGGCATTTTACCTTTTTATAAATACAGGTGAAATGGTTCTGCAGAATCACAGATATCTCAACAATTAACTATGATTTTGTTTCCCTAGCCGAATTGTTTAATGATTAAGAGATATAGAAGGGGGCAGTGACAGGGTCATGAAAGGAATTTGGGCGTGGTGACAGGGAGTCATTTGCAGAAGGCAGGAATAACCAGTTATATTTGTGTTTTAGAAAGTCACTGGCAGCCTAGTGTGAGCTGGGTGGGAGAGAGACGGAGACACAAAACAGAAGACAGACCTGCTGGCAGGCTGCTGTAAGAGTCCTGTGGCAGTAAGGATGAGAAATATCATTGATGTCTGTTTAGAGAAGCTTGCTTTCTCTTTTAAAATAAAGGAACTGTGAGATTATTCTATTTTTAAAGGAACAAATAATTATTTTCTTATACCTAATCACTCTACTAAGCTATTTTCTAAGTTTGGCTTTTTATTTTTAAGCGAGGCACACTGTTATATTTCAGAAGGAGAAAGATCCACATTTGTTGTCTGAGACTGAGCCAAACACTGTTTGTTTTTCTAAAGGAAATAGGGAAAAGAGCTCCCTGTTTCCTCTCCTCTTACCTACCTGGCAAAGGCGAAATAGACAGTTTGCCCTCCTGGGTGGCATTGGGGGGGTCTGCTTCATAAACAGACAATAGCCAGTAGTAGTAGTGCTTTCCCAGCTGTTGTCCTCCGTTTCTGCTGTATGTGCTTCACCTTGTGTTGCACGGGACACTAAACGTAGAGCCTGTCCTTGAGGAGGTCCGGGGTGGGCAGTGTCAGCAGATAAATAATGATAGCAAAGAGTGAGCTGCTTTGTAAGGGCTCACGAGTGCAGCCCTGGCCATAGTCAAGTGCAAGTGCATTCTGATTTTTAAGAAGTAAGACAAGACAGAAGTAGGGTATGGGATCTATGTAGTTGTTGTCCCCTTACTCAATGAAAATCTGAGAAAAATGGAGCCCCTCATTTACTTCATTGTTTTCCCATTTACTCTGTGTACCTCTCTCTCCTTTTCTCTCTCAGCAAGAATGGTAACATTTCTTCCTGAAGCTATTGCCCAAGTTAAAGCATGGAGAAACATGGCTTGTATAGCCACTGTTGGGTACCTCTGACACCAGAAAGAACGGGAAAGTGGTCATCACATCCCTTCTCTTGCAGCCCCCAAACGGATATTGATGGCATTTCAGAGTCAAGCCCTTCCATTAAAATGATCTCTGTCATATTCAGATGCTGATTTGTGTCTTATTTCCAGGATCTAACATGTTCTCTAAAGACAGAAAAATTCTTATCCTTGTATTCCTGATCTTTTTCCTATCTAATTTTAATGCTTATGTAAAAACAAGAAACCATCTAAATCACTCAGTTACCAGACCAGCAGAATATCCTGGGGGAAAAACAAAAAGTCCTCTGAATAAAAAGGCAGGAGAAGGCCCAGGCGTTCATCAGTAGGGACGGGTTAAACACACTGATACATTCAGGTTGTAAAATAGAATGAAGACACTCTCTGTCTACCAACATAGATCTCCACGGTATTACTCCTAGGGCCTGGGGAGGGGGGGAGGTGTAGCAAGTGTGTAGAACATGCAAATATTTTTGTAAGAAAAAGGAAAACAAGAATTAATTTTATATTTGCACTTATTTGCATGAAGAAGCTGAAGGATACACAAGTAACAAGTAAAAGTGTTTATTTCTGTAAAAAATGAGGGAGAGAGGGTGAACGGGAGTAAGGCTTTAGTATACCTTTGTATACAGTATTCTAATTTTTGAATTATGTGTTACCTGTTCAAAATTAAAAATATATTTTTTAAAAGATTTACACTGTTAGGTAAGGGGTAAGCCAAACCTGATCATGTTTAAGAACATGTATGTGATTTCACCCATCATGTTTGAGCCGAGGTTTTTGTGGTAGGGTCAGTTTCAGGACCATATATTTTGAGGAGGGAGGTGATAATTCTATAATTAGAACCTGTATGGCAGTTTAAATTCTAACCACTTTAGTAGGAAATTGGAAAGGCAAGCCTGCATTTAAACTGTTTAGCTTGTTCTTACTTATTGGATTTGTTTTTTATTTTCCCCCCAAAGTAATTGAAAACCTTAAAACATGATGGTCATAATTCACAGTGGGAATCTCTTGCTGATGCCTCGATGAACACAGTGGAAAAGTGAACTCAAATTATGGTCTTAGCCTGTTTTTATTTAAGTTTGTCTCCTGAGAAAGTGTTATATAGTCTGTGCTTTCATTTTTACAGGAGCAGAAAAATTCAGATTCGAAACATCCCTCCTCACCTGCAGTGGGAGGTAAGCCAGTGTCACTTCTGTTTTTGCTATTGACTTGCTTTCTTTCCTTTTTCAATGGGTTAACAAGACATTCCCCCCCTCTTTTAGTTCCCTTTACCAATTAGAAATGAGAGGTCCTCAGACTTGTCCCACCTTTTCCAGTACCCTAATGTGCATGATCTGTGATGAGTTCGGGGTCTGTCCCTTTCATTGTGCAGAATATGCTCTTTGACCTCTCAAGTTCTGTTTTCTCAAGCACCAAAAAGCTGTGAAACAAAATGTTTACCTGGTTTGTGATTTTTATCTCATAATAATTGTAAAAGATTTTTCACCTTTCCAAATCATGATTTAAAAAAAATCCATGGAAAACCAATAAAAATAGAAGGTTCTCTGTTAGTTTGAGCAAGTGTTGTTGTTGTTTTGTTTATTTTAAATTAATTGCTATGAATTAATAAACAACTTAAAAGATTGCTACCTTCAAATAAAATGGACACGTGGAAAAGACTGACAGAGGTGGGGGGGGAGCGCTGAATGAAAGAAGGTGAAGAGATAAGCCAAAGAACATATATGCATAGCCCATGGACACAGACAGCAGAGTGGCGAAGGCCAGGGGAGGGGTGGCAGGGACTAGGTAGAGATGGGCAAAGGGGGAAAATGGAGGACATCTGTAATAGTGTCAATGATTTTTAAAATTAATAATAAATAAGATAGACTATGAGGAATGGCATTATTACATTATTTAAGAACAAACTGCCTGATGTTTTTATTCCTCAACCCAATTGAAATCAAAATAGCCTTAAAGGAAAGAGAATGTTCTAATATTTTCATTACTTAAAAAAACATTTATTATGGAAAATGTCAAACATACACATCCCATTGCTTTGTAAAACAAGGAGATTCTTAGAGGAAAACCAAAAGAAGAATGGTTACAGTTTCCGAGGAAAAGTGAGCCATGTACTTGGTTTTGCTTCTCATTTCAAGAGCAGTAAACAGGTTCCAACCATCATGACGAATGTGATTGACAGTTACTGAGACTGAAATTCTGCTGTGTCATTTCAATGAACAGATTACTTGGGAGCCAATGAGCAAATGAAATATTTATTCAGTTTCAGGTCTTCTTTATGGAAGACCTGAAATAACAATTTAATTATATTATTCCTATAACTGTCCTTGTTTTGCTAGAATTCATTTGCTTGGGGAGATCACTGTACCATTTTTTGTGAGTACAATCTTGTTTTCCCATTCTGACATTGAAGCTCTCTTTTTCAGGTGTTGGATGGACTTTTGGCTCAGTATGGGACAGTGGAGAATGTTGAACAAGGTAATAAGTGACTCCTATGCCAGAATCCCCTGGAGTGCTCATAAAAATGCGTATTCCTAGGGCTCACCCTAGATCTACAAAGTAAGGTTTTCTGGGGCAAAAGTTCATGAATCTGTATTTTATTTTATTTTATTTTATTATTTTAAAAATATATCTTTATTGATTTCAGAGAGAGGAAAGGAGAGGGAGAGAGAGAGAGAAATATCAATGATGAGAGAGTCATTGATCAGCTGGCCCGCAATCCGGGCATGTGCCCTGACCGGGAATTGAACCCCGATCGCCTGGATCCTAGGTCGACGCTCAACCGCTGAGCCACGCCTGGCTGGGCCATGAATCTGTATTTTAAACAAGTAATCCCATATGATTTTTGTGTGTACTCAACTTAGAGAGCCACTGTCTTGGGAACAGTGTTATAAATGCCCAGAAAATACATACTTTTCTGCCGCCCTACTTTTACCTTCTAAAACAATAAACTATGGTTTTAAAAGAAAAAGAAATGGGTATCTGACACTGATATGTTATATAGCTCTTTATGAGTCCCAGAAAAGTAGATTCCAAACTCCTGATATGACAGGCAGTAACATGTATAAAGATTATTTTTGTGTTGACCTAGAAAGTACAGTGTGAATTCAGTCACTTACCGTGAGCCTTTGGAAAAGTCACTTAACCTCACTGACTCAGTTTCCACATGTGTAAAGGGGCAAGAATAATTTCTACCCTTCTTGTATTACTGAATAGTTGGCACCCAAAGTGAGTCTGTGTAAGGTATTTGTAGACAACGGAGCCGTGCATCATCTCAAGGGATAAGGTTCACTTAGGAAAAATCAGAGAACCCCATTTTCTCACGCAATCTGTCCTATCTGCCAGTATAATTAATATAATAGTTGTAACATAGTAATTACTCAGATGTTCTTCCCTCTATGAATATTAAAAATATCATTATTCAGCCAGGCTGGGCGTGGCTCGGCAGTTGAGCATCGACCTAGGATCCGGGCAATCGGGGTTCGATTCCCCGGTCAGGGCACATGCCCGAGTTGCGGGCTCCATCCCCAGTCGGGGGCGTGCAGGAGGCAGCCGATCGATGACTCTCTCATCACTGATGTTTTTGTCTCTCTCCCTCTCCTTTCCTCTCTCTGAAATCAATAAAGATATATTTAATAAATAAATAAAGTTAGTAATAATAAAAAAATATATATATATATATCATTATTCAGTTTCATGCTGCTGACTGCCCATGCCCAAAAATGAAGGGAAAGAACTCAGAAAGAAGACATGATTTATAAGGATTCTGTTTCTCAGTTCTCATTATTTCCCTCAACATGGAAAAGAAAACATTCTAATAAGGATTGGATGTGATAGTCAAGATGGTCTTCCAGACATGAACCTTTAAAAGTTACTAGCTCAGACCGTGTTATAAATTTGAGACCGTGCTGCTCAAGGAAGAAATAGTTCAGGTCCCAGGGTCAGTTACAGCTCCTAGGGAATGTGTGCCCTGGACAGTGCCCAATTTTTCCACCTGCCTCACAACTACAGGATAGACGTGTCGAAATATTGTTTTGTTCTATTTCATAGGTGATTCCTGATTCAGCAGGAAAACATTTTCAGTAGGTCTAACAAACTTAGAGTTTTCATGTCCAATGAAATAAATTATTTGAATGGAGCTCAGTTCTTTCAAGAATCAAAGAACTGTCTGATTTCCTGAAGACAAACATCTTTGAAGAACAGAGCATATGACTAAGGAGTGAAAAAGTCTGAGAATCTCAGAGTCCTAGTGGATAGCTTTATGCAGGAGGTTCAAACTCAGTCCTTTCTCCGTCTTTGGGGGGCTGCAGCGTCATGTGTAGCACTAGAGAGCAGCAGATAGGAACCCTCTGTGTCATTCTGTGTGTCCACACTGAGAGAGGACTGTTATGGGCTACCCATCCCATTTTGCACTGTGAAGACTTCTCTGGGTAAGTGTGAATTAGAGAGCAGTTGGAACACTCCCAGGACAAAGGCCAGGGCTGGGCTCATGTTTATGACACCTAAATCTCAGTGGCAGTTCCTTTGTAAGGATTACACTTTCCCTCCCCACAAAGGCTGTGGCTACTTTGAAGTCACTGGATAAACAATATTTTTAACAGTGGTCTTTAACCTTTTTGAGAATCTCATAGAAATTATAAACCAGAAAAATCCATGTGTCCACAAATTTGAATCTTTGGGTGGGATAGGGAAGGTCAGGTTATAGAATTCCTGAAGCTCTAGTGTAGATCCAAGATTAAGAAGCCCAACAGTATAGGGTTTATTGTTACTTTGAAANTTAGTAATAATAAAAAAATATATATATATATATCATTATTCAGTTTCATGCTGCTGACTGCCCATGCCCAAAAATGAAGGGAAAGAACTCAGAAAGAAGACATGATTTATAAGGATTCTGTTTCTCAGTTCTCATTATTTCCCTCAACATGGAAAAGAAAACATTCTAATAAGGATTGGATGTGATAGTCAAGATGGTCTTCCAGACATGAACCTTTAAAAGTTACTAGCTCAGACCGTGTTATAAATTTGAGACCGTGCTGCTCAAGGAAGAAATAGTTCAGGTCCCAGGGTCAGTTACAGCTCCTAGGGAATGTGTGCCCTGGACAGTGCCCAATTTTTCCACCTGCCTCACAACTACAGGATAGACGTGTCGAAATATTGTTTTGTTCTATTTCATAGGTGATTCCTGATTCAGCAGGAAAACATTTTCAGTAGGTCTAACAAACTTAGAGTTTTCATGTCCAATGAAATAAATTATTTGAATGGAGCTCAGTTCTTTCAAGAATCAAAGAACTGTCTGATTTCCTGAAGACAAACATCTTTGAAGAACAGAGCATATGACTAAGGAGTGAAAAAGTCTGAGAATCTCAGAGTCCTAGTGGATAGCTTTATGCAGGAGGTTCAAACTCAGTCCTTTCTCCGTCTTTGGGGGGCTGCAGCGTCATGTGTAGCACTAGAGAGCAGCAGATAGGAACCCTCTGTGTCATTCTGTGTGTCCACACTGAGAGAGGACTGTTATGGGCTACCCATCCCATTTTGCACTGTGAAGACTTCTCTGGGTAAGTGTGAATTAGAGAGCAGTTGGAACACTCCCAGGACAAAGGCCAGGGCTGGGCTCATGTTTATGACACCTAAATCTCAGTGGCAGTTCCTTTGTAAGGATTACACTTTCCCTCCCCACAAAGGCTGTGGCTACTTTGAAGTCACTGGATAAACAATATTTTTAACAGTGGTCTTTAACCTTTTTGAGAATCTCATAGAAATTATAAACCAGAAAAATCCATGTGTCCACAAATTTGAATCTTTGGGTGGGATAGGGAAGGTCAGGTTATAGAATTCCTGAAGCTCTAGTGTAGATCCAAGATTAAGAAGCCCAACAGTATAGGGTTTATTGTTACTTTGAAAAGCAGCTTTATTGTGGTTTTCTTGAATTATCCTTAATTCAGTGTTGTTAACTCCTAGTCTCCCAATAGCTTAAATGTTTTAAAGGGAGGATTTGATTTAGCCATGGCTGCTTGTTTTGGGAAAAATCAGTATTTTTGCTTTAGGTTTACTGGCTTGAATTGAGAAAGTTTTATCTTGCTTTTTGAATTTATTTTTAACCTCTGACTTTGGAAGAAGAAGCAAACAGTTACAAACTAAGATAAGCCAACTCAAAAGAGTGATTTCTTATTAGCCATTCTTAGAGTTTATGTGTCCTCTCCTTTAGCCAAGTGAGTTGGGATTGTCTGTTTTCTTTATTGTACACAGTTACTAGGTTTAACTTACACAGTTAAGTAGTTCAGTCAAAGGGAAACAAAAGAAGTAATTCAACCTTATCACTGAATGAAGAATTAAAATACTTTCTTATTATATCTATATATCCAATTATTTAACACTAAATGCAAATTATGCCCGGCCGGGCGTGGCTCAGCGGTTGAGCGTCAACCTGGGATCCAGGCAATCGGGCTTCAGTTCCCGGTCAGGGCACATGCCCAGGTTGCCGGTTCAATCAATGACTCTCTCATCATTGATGTTTCTGTCTCTCTCTCTCTCCCTCTCTCTGAAATCAATAAAGATATATTTAAATAAATAAATAAATAATAAATGCAAATTATAACAAATAAAACTTGTAACTTGATAGTGGTACAATAAATTGATATGAACTTTTAGGAAAGTTATTTGAAAATATACATTAAAAGAATTATGTTCTTCTACCCAGTTAATTTTCTCCTGTGATTGGCCTAAAAAAGTAATTCAAAAGAACTCAAATCAGTGATGTTTGTAACAAAGGTGATTTTCAGCGACACTTTTTAGAATAGCAAATACTGGGAACAACCCATTTGTCAACATGTGAGGGATGGTTAGGCAAAAATCATGGCACAGTTACTGCAATTTTATGTAGGCATTAAAAATTACAAAGAAAATGTACATCTGCATGTATCCATGCAAAAGTGTTTACAAAATAAGTGAAAGTATAGCCTTGAGTTATATATATACAATTGATTACAAATGTGTACATACAATTGATTGCAACTTACTGTGAATGAAAATGAATAAAGATAGAAATTCAAATAACTCTAAAGTTAGGGCATTTAATTACTTTGTGCATTATTCTCTAAAGTAAGTCTGTTTACATTGAGCCAGAGGGCAATGGCTTTTTTTTCCCTATGACAATGTAGTTTTTGCTTCTTCCCCAGTCAACACAGACACAGAAACTGCCGTTGTCAACGTCACATATGCAACAAGAGAAGAAGCAAAAACGTAAGTGAATTTGCGCTTCCTTTTAAGTTTTTTGGAGGGTTGTCTTTAAAGTCCATTGAGTCCTGTGTTTATAAACCTTTTCTGGAAAGATGCAGATCTTTGGCATGTCACTAGAACTCCAGGACATTTATCCCAGGATGTATGTTTTTGATTGCACAGAGACTTTATCCTGAAAAATGTTGAGCCTTGGCATCAACAGAGGTGGGAGCTGCTCTGGACATGGTCAGGAATAGAGTGCACCAGCTCTGTGACACTGTCCCTTGGACTCTGCTTTGCCAACCACCGGGAGCCACTTTCACCTGGAGTTTCCTCCATGCACCAGGATAAAGAAGCACAAGCCTTATTTTTTATCCACACTAATTGAATGGATACTAAAACATCCATTTTTCCTTTATTAAAAGGTGGATCCACTTCAGTGACATCAACAGTGGGGAGCAGTGTCTGGCCATGATTAATCAAGAAGCACCTGGCTTGGGTTCTTTTTTCTGCCCCCATTCACCTCCTAGTCCCTATTCATGACTACATCACTTCAGTGGTGGTTAATTTTGAGCTTGGCTATTAACGGACATGGAATTGAGGTTTTTAAAAAAACAACAAAAATAAGTTCCTTTTTTTGAGTGTGTGTATTCTTTTTTTAAAAAATCTTTATTGTTGAAAGTATTACAAATGTCCCCTTTTTCCCCCATTGATTCCCTTCACCCTGTGTCCCTTCACCCCACTATTGCCTGTGTCCATGGGTTAGGCATATATGCATATAAATTCTTATGTTAATCTCTCCCCACCCATCCCCACCTCCCCTCTACAATTTGTCATCCTGTTCCATGCTTCTGTGTCTCTGGATCTATTTTGTTCAGAAGTTTATTTTTTTCATTAGATTCCACATATGAGTAAGATCATGTCACACTTGTCTTTCTCTGGCTTATTTCACTTAGCATAATACTCTCCAGGTCCCACCATGCTGTCTCAAATGGTAACGGATCCTTTGTTTTTACAGCTGCATAGTATTTTGTTGTGTAAATGTATGAGAAGATGCTTGATATGATTTCCGTCTTCTTGAACTTGTAGAGACTTGTTTTGTGTCCTAACATGTGGTCTGCCTTTGAGAGTGTCCCATGTGCACTTGAAGAGAATGCCTATTCTGCAGCTTTAGAGTGGAATGTTCTGTGTCAGTTAAATCCATCTGATCTAGGGTATCATTTAGAGACACTGTTTCCTTGCTGATTTTTGTCTGGAAGACCTATCCAGTAAAGTCAGTGGGGTGTTAAAGAACCCTACTATGACTGCATTGCTGTCGATTTCTCCTTTAGAGTCCTCCAGAAGTTTGTTTGCTTTTCCAGCCTGTGTGAGTCTTTTGTTCTGAAGTGGATCTCTTGTAGACAGCACATATTTGGGTCTTGTTTTCTTATCCATTCAGCTACCCTATGTCTTTTGATTGGGACATTTAATCCATTTATACCTAAGGTTATTATTGATAGGTATTATCTGTTGCCATTTTATTTCTTTATGCTTATGTTTCTCATTCAGCTTCTTATTACAGCAGTCCCTTTAACATTTCTTGCAATGTTGGTTTGGTGATGATAAATTCCCTTAGCTTTTTTTTTTTTGGTCTGGAAAGCTCTTTATTTCACCATGTATTTTTTTTTTTTTTTAAATATATCTTTATTGATTTCAGAGAGAGGAAAGGAGAGGGAGAGAGAGAGATAGAAACATCAATGATGAGAGAGTCATTGATCGGCTAGCCCGCAATCCGGGCATGTGCCCTGATCGGGAATCAAAGCCCAATCGCCTGGATCCTAGGTTGACACTCAGCCGCTGAGACACGCCCGGCTGGGCACCATGTATTTTGAATGATAGCCTTGCAGGGTAGAATAGTCTTGGTTTCAGGTTCTCATTTTGCATTACCTTGAATACTTCATGCCATTCTCTTCTGGCCTATAGAGTTTCTGGTGAGAAATCAGTTGACAGCTTTATGGGAGCTCCTTTTTAGGTAACAGCTTGCTTTTCTCTTGCTGCCTTTAAGATTCTGTCTTGAATTTTTGGCATTTTAATTACGATGTGTCTCTGTGTGGGCCTCTTTGGGTTCTTCTTGCTTAGGACTCTCTGTGCCTCCTGAACTTGTGTGACTTTCTTTTTGACCAAGTTAGGGAAGCTTTCTGTTATTATTTCTTCAAACAGCTTCTCTAACCCTTGCTTACTTTTGACCTCTCCTGGTACTCCTATTGTGCTAATATTGTTACGTTTCATGTTGTCCCATAGCTCCCTTAAACTGTCCTCCTGTTTTGGGCTTTTTTTTTTATCCTCAACCGAGGATATTTTTCCATTTCTTTTCAGAGAGAGTGGAAGGGGAGAGAGAGAGAAACATCGATGTGAGAGAGACACATTGATTGGTTCCCTCCTGCACATGCCCCAACCAAGGCCAGGGATTGAGCTTGCAACTGAGGTACTGTATGTGCCCTTGGACAGAATTGAACCAGGGACCCTTCAGTCCACAGGCCGACGCTCTAACCACTGAGCAAAACTGGCTAGGGCTGTCCTCCTGTTTTTTAATTGTTCTTAGTTTTTGGTTCTCTGATTGATTTTTTTTTTCTGTCCTGTCTTCTAATTTGCTGATCTAATCCTCAGCTTCCCCTAATCTGCTGTTCATTCCTTCCAATTTTTTTTTTTATTTCTACTATGTCATTCTTAATTTCCTTCATAGTTTCTATATCTTTTTTCATGCTGTTGAACATCTTTATGATCAATATTTTGAACTCTATATCAGATAGATTGCTTATCTCCAATTCATTTAGCTCTTCTTCTGGAGAATCATTTTGTTCTTTCATTTGGAGCTTGTTTTTTTGTCGCCCTATTTTGGCTGGCTGACTGTTTGGATTTGTATTAGGTAGACCTGCTAGGACTCCCAGTCTTTTGGATGGTCTCTGGTGCAGGCCAATGTCAGACGCTGTTTGTGACTGGCCTTGAGTACCCTGTTTGAAGTTTTCCACACTCTAAAGCTTCTGGTTTCCTCTGCTGGGGCTGGGTGTATTTGGACAGGACCAAGATGTGCATCAAGGTCAGCTTTTCCAAGCCCTGGGTCCAGAAGCAAATCAGGCAAAGACTCAAAGCACCCAGAGCTGTTATTTTGCCTCTTAATGAACCTCAGCTTGTAGAAACTCCATGGGGTGGGGCCAGAGGTTTTCCAGGAGGGTGGGGCAATTCCCGCGCCCCCCCCCCCC